CAGGTCAAGACAGAGAAGTCAGTTCAGGAGGTTTTTGAAGGTGACTGTTTCTGAAGGAGTCCAAATAGGTCATTTGAATAGATTTTCTCAAAGGATGCATTATAATCATGGAGGTTTATTAGGACGGCATCTTCAGAAAACTGAAAGCTGCATTGTAAGGAAAAGACCAGGAAAATTGTGTCAAAAAAATTTTTTTTCCCATCATGACAATACACCCGCTCATTCTTTGAGGGTACAAAGGGCTGTCCTAAGAGAATTTCAGTGGACAACTTACCACTGATCTTGCACCTTCAGATTTCTTTTGGTTCTCCAAACTCAAAGAACATTCAAAAGGAACACAATTTGAGTCTTTTAAAACTACCATTTTGACCTGGTGCACATCGAAGAGCACAGAATTTTGAGGGGAAGAGTTAAAAAGATGAAACACTGCCTTCAGAAGCATACAGACCTAGAAAGGAGGAGATGTCAAGAAACAACAGCTTCACATTCTTACATATTTATATTTTGTTTAATGAAGATTTTGATGATTTTGTAGCAATGCCATTTTACTTACCCATGTACTCATAGGATGTAGGGATTCAAGTGTGACATCTTTGTGGGGGTTCATTCTGCCTACCACAGCAATCACTGTCTCCGGTTTAAAGACACGGAAATAGGCTCACTGAGGTGACATAACTTTCCCAAGGACACAGATACACAGTCAGGACTGGGGGATTCAGATTTAAATCCATATTCTTTCTATTACACACACGCACACACACAACACATGCCAAGCCCGATACAGCTTGATGTTCCTGATTACATTCTGGGGAAGTTGGGGGGTGGTGGCTCCTCTCTGGGCCCCATTCCATTTCTCTATTCTCAACATTGTCCTTTGTGAATCATATACCCGCTGTGCTACGCCGTGGGTATTCCCATTATGAATTTAGAAACCCCATAATCTCTTTGTATATGCCCCAAAGTCTTGTTTATTGAAAATGCACACCTCCCCCACTCCCATCCTTACACACACACACACACACACACACACACACACACTTCTTACTGGGCAACAGATTCCTTTCCTCTTTAAGGACCAACAACTAAAAAGTGAAGTATATTTTCCTACAGCCTGCTCACATGCTGAAATGTAGATATAATTATCAAAACTTAGAAATACACAGTGGGGATGAAGGCACCAGGGTCAGGCCCTCTGGTTTCAAACCACTGTGTGGTGGGGTGGGCTAAGACATGGCCATGGCAGCCAATCCATCAGGAGCTACTTCTGACAGATGAAAAGCAAGATGGGACCAGGCAGGGGCAGCCTGAAATTGAACTCAGTCATGGGCGCTCTGGCCTGAGGCTTTTCCAGTAATCTTCCGGACTTCTGTACTGTGAAATCAAGTCAACATGAAATATCCGGCCAGGTCTAGAACACATCGAAATCTCATTTCTTAAATAGGAAACGTCTACCTGTTGTTACTATGACTATTTTCATATTTAAGGCAGGCCATTAAACAGGGGCTCCAAGTAATGCACTGGAACCTATTTTGAATAGAGCTTCATGTATTGGATATATGTTGTCCTTCTCCCTTCAATCCCATTCCCATTCAGACACTCACTGTTTGAACACTCATTTAGTGAACAGTTTCTACAGATGTGGGTCTTGGGAACCAGAAGCTGGATTACGTATTCCTGCATTTGAGGAGCTCAGAGCAGCAGGCAAGATGAATAAACAGACACATATATACCAGGGCTATATGCTAAGATGGAGAAGAGAGCCTGACCCAGTGCTGGGGGACACAGAGTGAGGGGAGGATTAGAAGAGGGAGGCAGGGAAAATGTCCTCCTCTTATCGAAGGTGAACTTAGGGGTGAGTGTCACTGTGGCGTCTGCCTTTAGAGAATGACGGTAAAGGCTAAGTTGTTGACAGGATCTATGGAAAATTGCATCAGTAAGTCTGGAAGGAAGGCTGCAGAGGAGGAGCAGGCAGAGAAGGCTGAGGAGATAGGGGAGAGTCGTGGGAGCATGGGCCTCATCATTAGGAAAAGAGGGAACCACTGGTGGATACCAGACCTGTGAGTGATGCGTCAGACCTGTATTTCAGAAAGAGCATTTTGGTGGGAGTATGGGAGGATGGATTTGATGGGAGTAGAAGAGCGGTGAAGAGACCATTTAGTAGAGTACCCGTGAGGATGGAGAGAACGTAGTGGTTGTGAGCCATGGTGAGCAAAGCAGATGTTCAGGACTTACTGACTTGTAGATGGGGAGGTCCCTTTCTGCTGTACCCTAGAGCTGGGATTCCTCCACTCTGAAATGCAGCTTCCTCCCCCACTTAGCCCCATCTTCCCTTCGCAGCTGAAGCCCCACTCACAAGCCACAGGCTAACCCTGATCACCATCTCATTCCACTTGGATACTCTCAGATGTCCACCTTTATGCACTGGGTACCTTACCACCCCCGCCTGGGGATCTACTGCTGTTACATGACACATTCACTGCTGGGAAAGCACTGCATTTTCTGGCATATAAAATGCTCCAAAAACCAAAACCAAAACCCCAGAAGTGGATTTCAGAGTGTAATGGAATGGAATGCTGGAGTAGGAGAAGACAAAGTGTTTCCTGTGATCACTGTCTGCAGTGCTTTTTTTTTTGCATTTAAACATTTTTTGTGTGTCTGATGAATTGTCAAATGCCTCTCCCAGACCTCTCCAGCACCACTCCCAACATCTCTGTTCCAAACAGCGTTTGTTAAAGCCAACCGAGTCAGAAGCGGACTAGATGCTGTTGCTGCTTGATTTGAGCAGATGCATGTGAGCAGTGCTATATAAAAAGGTACTGGGGGATCTGACCGGAATGTGCCATCATTCAAAATAATGTGCCACTCGGATTCAAATGTGACTGCCATGTGGAAGAAGGCTCATATTTATTTTGGACAGATCAAGAGAACAGATCAAACTTCAGGAGACAGAAGTTGAAGAGTAGCAGGCTGACTTATTAGAATTTTCTAACAATTACACACACACACAACCTTTTCAACAAAAGAACATGCTGAATGGTACAGTAGTGAACACAGCATCCTCAGTAGTACTCCAGCTGAGATTGGATGACTGCTGTCTAATCAATAATCCTGAGGACATCTGAGGGCTGGGAGGGAAGGTTTGGACACTTACTTATAGACTGTAAGAGGCACAGTGGTTGTTGGGGCATAGGACTGACTCCTAGAGTAAGTGAAAATTTAATGGTAGAATCCTTGCCTTCTATGCAAGAGACATCCAGCCAATGTATCTCATGCATGGCCACCACCCATCTGTCAATGGAGGCTTATGTATTGTTATGATGAACAGGCTTCAACAGAGCATCTACACTGAGATAGACGAGGAAGGAAAGCCTGGCTACTTCCCAAAATCAGCCAGTTAAAACCCTGTGGATCACCTATCATGGGGATCACACAGGGTGGGGTAGCATTTTGTTCTGCTGTGCATATGTGGTTACCATGAATCAGAAGCCCAACTCAATAGCCACTAACAACAATGAGCTGGCTCCATCCAGTAAGAGAAATCCTTGGTCCATTGAGAACAGCAAGGGTCTACCTGGTCCCTAGCCTCAACCCCTATTCCTCCAATCCCTATTATGTTCCAGCAGGCCTTCTTAGGCTGGGCAAGAGGGTGCTGGCATTTTGTGTTTTGTTTGTTGAGCTTCCAATCTGGCCCACATATGGCAGGAGAATGACTTCCCTGATGGATTTCTTTCCTCTGCCCAGTTTGAGAGAACAGATGCTGCGGGTCAGGCCAACAGCCATTAATTTCCAGGAAATAACTCTTAGTGACTGAGGAAGAAAGCCATAAAACACTTGGGAGGCGGGGATGGGAGAAAACAATGACACCAGACAGCAGACAGGATTACCGCTAACTGCCAGGAGAAGCCCCATGGATCATTCTCTCTGCTTACATGAGGCTCCCAGAGCCACTCTAGACATGCTCCCCAGTGAGCAGAGAGGGGACCAGGGCCCCAGCACCCAGGGATTCTTCCCTTTCCTCCGCCATGATTCATTTGTCAGCAAATGAGTGGTTTGGAGGTGGTAGGCACTGTTCTAAATGCTGGGACCAGAGCTTTGAACAAAACCGACAATCCCTGGCCCCGAGGAGCGTGTTTTCTGGTGATCTTTTAGGTATTACCTGCTGGGGAAAGGAGACACACCTTGATGGATTTTAACAATAACCCCAAGAAGTAGGGTCATATTAGTACCTCCCTATAGCGTAGTGGTTACAAATTGGCCTGCTAACCTCAAGGTTGGCAGTTCAAAACTACCAACGGTTCTGCAGGAGAAAGATGAGGCTTTCTGCTCCCGTAAAGATTTACAGCCTTGGAAACCCTGTACAGGGTCGCTAAGAGTCGGAACCGACTCCACGGTACTTAACAACAACAATGAGGGAAAAGGAGGGCCCCTCAGTGTCACTGGATAGATTGAATGCGTCTTTCTGACCATAGTCCTCCTCTTGTAGCTGTAAATTTCAGCTCTAAACCACTGGGGTCAGGCCTGACCACCCTGCCTCAAGTATTAAAGATAAGGGCACTACAGCTCAAAGGTTGCTGTGGCAGTTCACCCAGACCCTCCTTATAAGCAGTGTGAAGTGTACCAATGGATACTAATGTGTTACCATTGTTCCTATTCCTCATTTTCTCTGACCTGTCTTCTTCAAGCTCCAAATTCCCAAGTTCAGTGCCCTAGTCTTGGACTTTGGAACCTGGTATGCTTCCTAGTCTTCCTATATTCGGCTTTCCCCTAATAGCCTGACCAGCATGATTTCCTGGTGCTCGACATTCACCCTCCCAATAGTCACTCTGGCCTTCCCCGGAGGATTAGACTTACTCATCCTACTAAAACGTGCCTCTCTGTCAGCTTGGTGCTAGGCCCAAGGTCACACAGATCTAAAGCCCAGGGACCCTGGGTTGAGGGCAGAGTGAGCCCCAAAGACATATAGGATGATGTAGGTCTGGATGTTTAGGGCAATAACTCACCAAAATTCTCCCCACCCCAGATGTCCATTTCCATATCATATTTCCCCAGGTAGTCGAACCAAGTTTTGTCAATCACGAAGAGCCCTCCAGCTATGATTGGAGTCCTGTGCATTTGGAAAAAACAGAGGGAAAAATCTGTTATGGGAGGGGGGCGATGATCAAATTCTTCTGGCCTGGAGTGTAGAACTCAAGGCTATTTCCCTCCTGTTTCTGGTCATCTTTAGAAAGACCAATAAAATTTCCAGCATCCTAAAACAAGGTCAGCAGCTGCTCCTTGGAAACCCTACACTAGGTCACCATGAGTAGGAACCTCCTTGACAGAACTTAACAGCAACAACAACAAAACAAGAACATGCCCAGAGTGTTCTTCCTTTGATAGTTGGCACTCACTCAGGACCCCAGCTGTTCTGGAGGCCTCCATGGACCTCTGCCACAGGCTCTATCAGTATGGTTCTCTTGGGATCTCCATTAGTGCGAGCAAGCCACTGACCAGAACACAGAACAAGGGCTGAAGCAGCACCTGTGAATAGCACATCAATTTCATCAACATGAACTCTCTGCCTTTTTAACTCTTTATCCTTTACTTGCATTTTCTTTTCTTGGGGCCCTACCACAACCTCCCCTAGGATTTGATTGCTCAGAGAGACGTTTCTAAAAAGAAAGGTTTTGATAAGGAAAGCAGGCAAGAGCAGCAGAGTCCAAGAAGGTAGTCTGAGAAGTTTAAGGAGGTCCAAGCAGGTCTGGTAAGAGTCAATGGCTGGCGTAGGTGGGAAAACCCTTAGGGACCTGCACGCCCATTCAGTAGGTCCAAAGGGTGAAGTGAGTTTTCTCCTAGATCAAATAGCTGATGGAGAACAGGTCTAAAACCCAATCTTCAGATGGTTCCTAATCAAAACCAAACCCACTTCCATCAATTGATTGTGACCCGCAGTGACCTTATAGGACAGGTTAGAACTGCTCCTTTAGGTCTCCGAGACTATGTATCTTTCTGGGAGCAGACAGACTCATCTTTCTCTTGCAGAGTGGCTGATGGATTTGAACTGCCCATCTTTCGGTTAGCAGCACAAAGCCTAACCCCAAGTGTCACCAGAACTCTTTGATGTTCCCTAGACCTGGACTTGTCCTGGGCAACACCTTCCCATAAGAAGAGAAATTGCCCCCAAGAACCCTGTCATTGGGGCAGAGGAAGGAAAACCCCAGAGGCAGCTGCTCCAGCACCTTTGTCATTAACTTAGTGCATCACTTTGAGGTGTCCAGATAGGTAGATAATCTTCCCAGGCCCACCCCCAACATGGCACAGCTGCCCTGCAAGTAACTGCAGGGTTCTCAGCCCGGAAGAAAGGCTCTTCCATGCCTTTAGAAACAAAGGACATTATCTGGGGTGCCATCTGGCTTCAATCTCCCTCTTGGCATCACTTCAGATCAGAGAGGAAGGACAGAGGTCCCAGCATAGAGTTCTGAGTTCCCACCCATCTGTCTGGGCCATCACCATTCAACTCTTCATAACCCCTTTAATCTTCAATTTGATGTAAATCAGTTCAATGAAACTATCAAACGTTTACAATAACCAGGCACCAGAAATACAGACGAGTCCTAATGTGACGCTGCAATTTCCTCATAAAAGCACATTTTAAAACACAAATTTGATTGTTTATTGCTCCTGTTTAATTTTCTAAAGCCTAAATCTAAACCCAAAAGTAAAACCTGCTGCCACCGAGTCAATTCCGACTCACAGTGAACCTGTAGGATAGAGGAGAAAACTGTTTCTTAGAGTTTCTGACACTGGACTAACCATAAAGTTGGTAGTTGAAACTCACCACTCACTCTTTGGATACCCTATCCAGGGACACTATGAGTGTAAACTCACTTGATGGCACTTAACAACAAGAGACACACAGAGATATCCTTGAATAGTCCTCATTGTTGTTGTTGCTGAGATAGTTCCAACTCACAATGACACTATATAGATGGGGTCTCTGAGAGCTGCTGGTGAATTTGAACTGCTGACCTTGTGGTTAGTCTAGTGCTTATTCTACAGCGCCACACCAGGCCCCTCAAACAGTCCTGGGCATCCTTACATCACTGGGTTGAGAATTTCTAATACAGTGGGCTTTTCTATAACTCTTCAGGCATTTCTCATATTCTCCTGATGTGTGATGTGAGAATCCATAATCTTAGCTTATAGATTCTCAAGAGCCTGGGCCATGCCTGCTTAGGTAGAAACATGTTCTACTTAGGTAGGAACATCAACACCATGAGATTTTTTTTCTTTTTTTGTGGAATGGGTACTATCACCAAGGACTAAGAGCTGCTGGGAGTGGAGTACATGCTTTGGACCTGGGACTGTGAAAGAGTGATATCACGAAGCATAGGTCTACCGATGCTGACAGAAGGCAAGAACCTTTCTCCAGAGCTGGCACTCTGAATTTAGATCAATAGACTGCTAAACACAAGGTCGGCAGTTCAAACTCCTCAGCAGAAATATGAGGCTTTCAGGTGCCATAAAGATGTACAGCCTCAGAAACCTTATAAAGGGTTGCTATGAGTTGGAACCGACTTCACAGCACTTAACAACAACAATAACAACAACAAATATGCTATAGACCCTATACTGCATTATGTATGTATTATTTTATGCAGTTAAGAAAAGAAAATACGCATTTACCTTGTCTTTTATAATTAAAGAAAATTATAAATTCTCTTTACTCCTGCTCTTTGTATTTTCATTTGGCTATGAATTACATGTAGGGGTCACTTGCTGTCAGTCTGAAGAATTCCCTGTAGTATTTCCTGTAAGGAGGATAGTCTTGAAGCAAATCTTATTAGTTTCTGTTTATTTGGGAATGTCTTATTTTGCTTTTGTTTGGGGAAGATAGCTTTATTAAATATAGGATTCCGTTTTCTCCCTTGAGAACTTTGAGTATGTTATTCCTCTGCCTGCTGGCCCCCATTTATTTTTGCTGAGACACTCTGAATGCTGATACCACAGGCTCCCCATGCACTCTAGTCAATGTTAGGTCCTCAGACCATCTTGCCACCAAGTGCTGTGGGCTGCTAGGGGACTAAGAGAGAAAACACAGGGCAGGACAAAGAGCTGGAGCAGCACCACAGTACTCACGTCTTCATCATGACCTTGCACAGGAGGGAGCAGGCATGTTCATTAGCATGCAGCTATGGCCATGTGGGAACATCTGACTCCACTTACAGCAACCCTTCTTGAGCTAAAGCCTGGTATCTAACACCAGAGAACTTGCCCTTGGCCCTAAGGGACTAGCTTTTCTCTTAGCAGAGGCCCATCTTGAACTCTCCACCATTTAGCAGGAAACCTAAGTACATCATGGCATATGTGTGGGTAGATACCATTGGGTTCCAGCAGACCTCCATCCCCTTCAGTAGAATTCCCTATGACAACTGTGTTGTTGTTAAGCACTGTCCAGTTGGTTACAACTCATAGTGAACCTATATAGGGTTTCTGAGGAGCAGCTGGTGGGTTTGAACTGCTGACTCTGTGGGTTTGCAGTCCAGTGCTGATCCTATAGTGCCACACCAGAAGTCCCCATGACAACTGGACCCCCCTAAAACAAGGAGAAAATCAATATGGTCTGACAAAGGGCGTTCTTCATCTTTACCCAATCTTTTGAGCACCTAATAAAGAATGCCTTCTAATACCATGTGATGGGGGAAGGACCTAGGAATGAAGAGTCTGCCTCCCACCTTGCACTGACCCTTCCTACTTACCTAATGGGCTCAGTGGGGTCCAGACGCCGAGCCTTCTGCTCTGGGGAGAGCTGCTCCCATTGGAAGTGGAGGCTCCAGTCAAACCCTAAAATACAGTATCAACTTAGTTGATGTAATATCCCAGAGGTATTTGCAGAGCTTGTCTATTTAGCACCTTTGCTAGAAGTTCATGAGAATGATCTCAGGCCCCCAGGAAGCTGGTCCCAAGGAAAACAGCCCCCATGGAGACTGATCCATAACCTAGTTACCAAGTCTTAGTTTCATTCTTTTTCCACTTCCTACTTTCTCTGTCTCTCTGAACCATCTCTACTGGAGGAGAGTTATGGAATAAAGGGCAAAGAACAAGGAGTTAGGTTTGGCAGAGACGAGGAGTAGGATTCATGGACAAGATGGACAGTGCAGAATGTGGTCTGTAGCTATAAGCCTCAGGAAGGCATCTGAGGGACCTCCAGGTGACTCAGATCTCCTAAGATTACTCTTGGGTTGGGGGCCAACTAAGATGGAGACTAAGGTGTCAAATTCAGGTCCCATTGTAGCAGGTCATCCTTGGGTCCTGGGTGAGTTTTAAGTTAGAAGTAGAGCTCAGGAGCTGGGGTGCCCTACCCATACATAGGTCCTTTCCTTTCAGAGTCTTAAGAAGTAAGGGTGCAGGGCTGGTATTCCATACAAACAACTAAGGTGAATCTTTCCCTTACGTTCCTCTATAAAGCAGTGATGAGGAGAACAGAAAATCCTTCTTCAGGAAAAGGATTGAGCCTCACTCACCCCCTCTCAGCTCCGAGGCAGACTCGATGTAATTAAAGGTGTCCAAGTTGATGATATCGATCACTGGGCACACCACCCGCGTGTAGTCCTGTGGAACAGATACTGCTTTCAGTCTGTGGTGCCTACTAGTCTGGCTGGGGTTCAGGAGTTTGGTACACTCCTGCCCTGGGAATTAGTTAAAGTTCTCTGTGGCTTTAACTAAGCACTTTTCTCTCAGGACCTCAATTTCCTCATCTACAGATGCCATAGCCTCTAGTTCCCATGCCTAAAATGCAGAGTTAATTCTTGACTCCTGGACTCTATCCCGGTGGCCATCTAAGGATGGCTGGAGAGCATTGCATACTGAGAAAGCAGACATGGGGAAAAGGGGATTCAGAGACCCCTTTGTATCAGTAGGGCTTGCGGGAGGAAAAGATACAGTCAATTGGGTAGGCAAGCCAAAGCACACAGTCCCAAGCGGCAACTACACATATTCACAGTGCGAAACTCTTGAAATTTCTGCTCTCTGAAAAAATAATTTTCACTCTCTGGAAAAACAAAGGAGTGTCTTGCTATAGGGCTATGATTCAAGGGCACACTCATGAATGGTTTCTCCAGAGATTCTTAATTTCAGTTGTTGCCTGTAGATGGATGCTCTCAAATCTGTATCTCCAGCCCCAACTTTCTGTCAACCTTCTGAAACTAGCTACTGAGAACCCCTAAGGTGTTAAAAGGATTTTCAGTCAGGTCAAAGCAAAATAAGAGAAGACGGCTCGAGTGACCATCCCATCATCAGAATAGAACAGTTTTCTCTAAAAGTAATCACAGCTTCTGCTTTAATTAGTAGCCAAACCCTACTCCCAGGAAGGATGACTGCAGGAACCTAAACCACCACTAGGAGTCCTGGTATGATGCTGTGGGTTAATGCGCTGGACTGCAAAGTAGGTTTAAATTGCAAGGTCGGTGGTTCAAGCTCACCAGTTGCTCCTTAGAAACCCTATACAGGGTTGCTATGGATTGGAACTGACTAGCTGGCACTTAACAACAACAATAACAACAAACTGGTAACCACCACCTGGAGAGATTAATGGCTCTGGATGGAGATGTTTGGCTAGGACCATCAACAGGACCTTAAATAAACATGCAATGGAGCATTCCTGAAATCCTTCAGGGCCCCTACCTCTTACCAGAAACCCCTATAAACTCTCCCCTCCCATTTTGTTCAGGGAGACTGATCTGAGAGTTAATCCACTCCCTCTTTCTCCTTGGTTATCTATACTCAATGAATATTTTCCTCTGTGCTCCAAGTTCTGTCTCTGAATATTGACTAGATTAGCAGCAGGTGCTAAGGAACCATTTTTTGTTTTATTTATGGTAACATTTTCAGACACAGCTCCAACATGTGATTGGTCACCTCCCTGTGGATTTCACACAGTCCTTGAAATGGTGGCTTCATCCTCTTTTCCCTGGACATGCATCTTGCCCTTAAACTCCTTATTTCCGTAAATAGAACCATCAACCAGCCCCGCCCCACAAACATACATGGCACCACTAAACTAATAAACTTGACCCCTACTCATTAACTGGACCAAGTGCTGCTGACTCTAAAAGTTTCAGTTTTGAATTCTTCCTCACCCTCCTTTCATGCATGGAAAACTGCAGTAGATTTCTAACTACCCACCTCCGTGTCCCCTAGCTCTTCCTCTTCTCATTCTATACAAGGCTGTCCAAGTTGTCTTTCTGATAAGCAAAGCTGCCTCTGCCATTCAACTGCTAAAACCTCTCATTGTCCCTAAGGTTCAAACTCCATAGAATGACTTCCAAGATCATCTAAAATAAGTACAGTTGACTTTCCATATCTGTATCTTTCAAGGTCAAAAATGTTAGGGAGTGGGAAGATATTAAGTGGTCAAAGCAATCCCTCAAAGACTAAGAAGGAGAGTAAAGTGCAATTTATGGAACATTTACATTGCATTATATATTGTAAGTAATCTGGAGATGATTTAAAGTGTACTGGAGGGTGTACTTAATTATACACGAGGGCTTCAAAAAGTTCATGGAAAATTCCATTATCTTTTCATTCCATTTCCCACAAACTTTTTGAAGCACCCTTGCATGCAAACAGTATACCATTTTATATGCATGACTTGAGAAGAGTAGAGATCTAGGGATGTGGTTAGTAGGGAAGGAGCAGGGAGTCCTGGAACATGTGGAAGGCTCACTGTATGTCTCCAGCTTTTCACTCTCATCTCTTGTTACTTCCCCAAGCTACTCTGTCTGGAGGTATCAAAATCATCCAGGAAACAGTTTCCAATTGTAAAAGCCAAACCCACCAGTTTTGGAGAGCACCCAGGCATTACATGTAAGTCAAAAACTACTGTTACAGAATCATAGAAACCTGTATTAAACAAGTGTCAGTATGTGAAACTATTGTTTCTCAACATCTCCTCCATCTAGGTCTATACACTTCTGAAGGCGGTGCTTCCATCTCTCCAGCTCTTCCCTGAAGAATTCTGTGCTCTTCAATTTACATCACGTCAAACTGGCAGTTTTGGTATCCTCCAGGGACTTAAACTGTGTTCCTTCTAAATGTTCTTTGAATTGTGGAAACAAAAAGAAGTCTGAGGGGCAAGATTAAGGCTATAGGGTGAATGAGGGAAGGTTTCCCAATGAAATTCTCATAGGACAGCTCTTGCTACCCTTGAAAAACAAGCAGGTGTTATGGGGAAAAAAAATTACTGGTTGCAAATTTTCTGGCCTTTTTCTCACCTACACAGCTTTTGACTTTTTGAAAACCACTTCCTAATAAGTTTCCACGATCATTTATTTCCTAATAAGTCCCCATGATCGTTCTTTGTCTTTTGAGACAATCTATCAAGATGATTCTTGTAGAGCCCCACAAAATAGTCACCATAAACCTTCTGAGTTCTCCTCTTTACCTTGAATTGAACTGATCCAACACAGGCACTTAAAAACCACTGTGCTGATTGGACCTTTTTTTGTTTGTTTGTTTCTTTGAAGGCACCCTAACAAGACTAAGACAAATGTATTACTTAGAGAACCTGTCTGCTGCCGTTCAGCGATCACAGAGCTTTGTTTAAACACATTTTGTTTATAATAAACCATGGATGTATCAGCTGGAATCATAGTTGTTGTTGTTGTTAGGTGCCATCGAGTCAGTACCAACTCCTAGCAACACCTATGCACAAAAGAACGAAACACTGCCTGGTCCTGGGCCAACCTCACAACTGTTGCCATGCTTGAGCCCATTGATGCTGCCATTTTGCCAATCTATCTTGCTGAGGTCTTCCTCTTTTTCTCTGTCCCTCCACCTTACCAAACATGATATCCTTCTCCAGTGACGGGTCCCTCCTGACAATATATCCGAAGTATGAGAGACAAAGTCTGGCCATCCTGGCCTCCAAGGAACACTCTGACTGCACTTCTTCCAACACAGATCTGTTTGTTCTTTTGGCAGCCCATGGCACTTTCAATATTCTCCTTCAACACCACAACTCAAATGCATCAATTCTACAGTCTTCCTTATTCACTGTCCAGCTTTTGCATGCATATGAGGTTAGTGAAAATACCAGGGCTTGGGTCAGGCGCACCTTAGTCCTCAAGCTGCCATCTTTGCTCTTCAACACTTTAAAACTATAGTAGGAATGTTAATGTTTTTGGTATTTTTTGTTTATATATTTTTTGTCATTAAGTGCCATCGAGTCGGTTCCAACTCATAGCAACCCTACATAGGGTTTCTGAGGAGCAGCTGGTAAGTTTGAACCACCAAACTTGCGGTTCACACCGTCCTTGCAGCCAAGTGCTTATCCTACAGCACCACACCTGGACTCTATATATGGTATTGCAGAGTACGCACTGGATCACAAGGTCAGTTTGAACCACAAGGTCACCAGTTCCAACTCACCTGCTGCTTTTTGGAAACCCTTTACAGGGTTACTATTAGTTGGAACCGAGTCGATGGTGTGTGTGCGTGTGTGTATATATATATATATGTTTGTTGTTGTTAAGTGCCATTGAGTCGGTTCCGACCCATAGCGACACTGGTGAGCTTGAACTGCCAACCTTGCAATTCAAACGGCTTTGCAGTCTGGCGCATTAACCCACAGCACCACACCTGGACTCCCTCTATATATACATATGTATATACACACACAAACACACATACAACAAAAGCTTCCCCATTCTGATTACCTACTGGAGGACCTAGTTCTTGACTTGCAGGAGGGGAAGAACTGGGCCCCCCCAGGAGATGGAATAGACCAGCTGTGAACAAGGAGACTCTTGGATGGCTAACTAGGGATCAAGTCACCTAGGAGAGCCAGTAAGTAGATCTTAGGTGAACCAGGGAGGAAAGCTTTTCCAATCCTTAGCATCTATCACCCTTTGGCTGGCTCAGGCATGAACCTGTTTCTCCTTGAAGCCATTTAATTTCCTGGTTCAATCTCTCCCCCAAATGAGGCTGTCTTCTTATTTTAAGGTCCAGATTTGCCACGTGCCTGATTTTAAGTTTGCAGACTTAATTTGGCCCTCAGACTCCCACATGCGACTCATTCTGACAATAACAAGGTGCCTCTGAAAACCAATTGGCCACATGGAAAGCAGCGTTCATTTCCAATGCATTACTTCTACCACTGGGACGTGCACAGATGCTTCATTCCAAGTCAGCACGGCACCTGCTCAGCTGTCACTGCTCCTCCAGGCCCTGTCAGACCATTGCTATTGTGGGCTGTGTGCACAGTCAGAAAACATGCACACATACAAGCCCACTAACGCAATGCCTACACACAGACCCACACCCTAAGACATTTCTGTGGCTTCAGTTCTGCCATGTATCCTACAAGTTCAGAGACTGGTCCTCTTCTGTGGGTCTGACAAAGTCCTCACTCTGTGTCTGCTTGCTGAGTACTGGGACCTCTGCAGCTGTATCAAGTCATTATGTAGACATTGTTTTGTTTTTATTTGAAAAATCTTCCTTCAATATTTGGAAACTGAAATGCAAAATAAATATACTGGTTGTTGACCTGGGCCACATGGCTCTGTCTCAGGGCTCTGTCTCCCCTACAAGTTCTGAGGAACCCTGTCCTATTT